TCCACATTCTGATCGGTGAATTCTTCCCTATTTTTGAGTAATCGTATATGCTCTACGATTGTGGAGTGTAGTCGTTCTATCATTCCGTTTGAACGTGGATGTTGTGTGCTGGTAAAGTGTGTGTCGATTTTGTAGACATTAAGTAGTTCTTTAACAAGTGAGTTATTGAATTCCACGCCATTATCGGTAACGATTTTCTTCGGTATGCCGTAATGTGTGAAATGCTTGATTAATTTGTGTGTTATTTCGACGGCCTGTGAAGTTTTAAGTTTATAAGCCTGAGCAAGACGTGAGAAAGCGTCTATGGTCGTAAGAAATTTGTTTCCGTCCACTGTAAAAGTGTCGATGTGGATTATGTCATTAGGGCGTGTGGGTGTAGGGGTGACATTCAGTTCAAGGTTAAGGGGTGTTCTGTCGTATTTTGTCTTCAAACACAACTCGCATTTATTAATGTAATTACGAATATGGATTTTTATGTTCGGCCAATAATATTTGTTTTTTATTTGGTTGTATGTTTCGTCTATTCCTCTATGATTTGTCTTTCCGATGTGGTAACTTTCAATTATTTCCAATATCTCGTTTTGTTCAATTACGTCGAGTAGTTTTGTACAGTAACGGAATAGTATTAATTCTGATTCCTTAAAGTATTGTTTCATAATACGGCAAAAGTCTTCGTAAAAATTCGTTTCGAAATAAATTCCGTACTTTACTTTTGGTACGATAAATTCTTTAATAAAGTTTACGATGTCCGTGGCGAAGTTATTTTTTGAAATTTCTACTACTAACCTTGTTTTGTTCTCAAATAGTTTCATTATTTTGACCTTTTTGGGTTGGAAGTTTACAAGTGACATTAGGATTTGGTTTTTACAATAATTTATTGGACCATCAACGATTGGTACCTCAATTTCAATGTTGCTTAGGTAGTTCGAATGTACTGTCTGTTCGTCAGTTTCTTCTTCGATAATTTCTATGTCACTATCGTCCGGTGGGTTTGCTACTATTGAAGTCATGTCTATGTCCGGATTTGTGTTGGTCAGCTCCGCAATAATTTCATTTATTTGTTCGTTCGGTGAGTTTGCGTTTCTGTCTTCTAACACTTCTGTTAATATTTCATCTAAGTCTAGATTTCGTGAAATTTCGTGTTTGAGGGAGTTTCCTTCGTTTATGTGTATTTCTATTCTAGATAGAGCGTCTGCGTTAGAATTTAATTGTCCTCTTTTGTATTTAATTTCGAAATTATATTCTTCTAGTTTCAGTCTCCATCTTAGTAGTTTTGAAGTAGGGTCTTTCAAAGAGAAAAGCCACTGTAATGGTTTATGGTCGGAAAGAATAAGAAATTTTTTTCCATATAGGTAGGGTCTGAAGTATTTTACTGCCCATACAATAGCGAGTAGTTCTCGTTCTATTGTAGATAAATTCGTTTCGGTGTCTGAAAGTGTTCTGCTGGCATAAGCTACAGGTAAGTCTGACCCGTCGAAGTCTTGGCTCAGCACAGCGCCAACGGCGATGTTGCTAGCGTCAGTGGTCAAATGGAACGTTTTGGTAAAGTCTGGGTATTTTAGGATAGGCTCGTTGATTAGTAAGTTTTTGCATATGTTAAATGTTTCTAGGTATTCCTGGTCGTGTATGTCTATTTTTGCGCCTTTTTTTAGACATTTTGTTAGTGGTTTCGTTAAGTGTGCGAAGTTCGGGATGAATTTTCTGTAGTATCCTAGTAGACCGAGGAATCCTTTTATTTGTTTGGTCGTTTTCGGGAGGGGGTAGTTTTTTATTGCGCTTATCTTGTCGGGGTTAGGTTTGACTCCTTCGTCTGTCACAATATGTCCAAGATAGGCGACTTGGTGTTTTAAGAATTCAGTTTTGTCCAGTTGGACTTTAAAATTTGTGTCCCGTAACCGTTGGAAGACTTGTCGTAATCTGTCTATATGTTCTTGTAAGCTTGTGCTGAATACAATTATGTCGTCCAAGTATACTGTGCATATCCTATTGTTTAGTCCACGTAATATGTGGTCCATCGTTCTTTGGAATGTCCTCGGGGCGTTTTTTAGTCCGAAAGGCATTCGTAGGAATTCGTATAGTCCATTTTCTGTTGCAAATGCTGTCTTTTGTATACTGTTTTCGTCCATTTCGATTTGGTGAAAACCCGATGCAAGGTCAATTGTCGTAAAATAATTACACCGGCCTAATTTGTCGAGTAGGTCTGTTATGTTTGGTATAGGATATTTGTCTTCGACAGTTTTTTCGTTGAGCTTGCGGTAGTCGATGACTAGGCGCCACTTTTTTCGTCCAGAGGCGTCAAGTTTTTTTGGGACAACCCAAACCGGGGCTGAGTATGGGGAAAATGACGATCTTATTATATTTTGTCTTAGCATTTTTTCGATTTGGTTGTTTACTTCATCTTTAAATATTTGCGGGTATCTATAGGTTTTCGAGTAGACGGGTATTTCGTCTGTAGTTCGGATTTTGTGCCTAATCTGGTTTGTGAAAGTTAATTTGTCTCCGTCTACGTAAAAAATGTCAGAAAATTCTTTTACTAGGTTTGTTATGGCATTTTTTTCTTCGACATTTAAGTGTTCCGTTCGAATTTTATTGGTGTCAAATTTTTCTTTGTTTTGTGTCATCAAATTGAAATTGTTAGTCCCCTTTTGTATAATGAAGTCATTGATGTCTTCAACCGTAATCGGGTGCTCTAACTTTATTTCCATATCCTTTTCTGTATCGTTTTTTACCACACAAAGAGCTGTGCTATCTTTTATATTTATCAAACCCTCAGGGATTTCTAATTCATTTATTTTGATATTTTTCAATAGTGCTTGTCCGTTGCAGACATTTTTTATTTTAATGGGGATGATTTTTTCGGAATTTGCCTCTATTAGCAATCCGGCTTGTGTAATGTTCTGGGTCGAATCGGATTGTTCGTCCCTAGAACCATTTACTAGCAATTCGGTTTGTGTGATGTCCTTCGGGGTCGAATCGGATTGTTCTTCCCTAAAGTCGGCATCATCCGAAGTTTTAATATAAGCAATTGGGGATTTTTTTCCCTGTATCTTTATTTTATTTTTGAAAAGATCAATTTTTGCTTTTAGCATTTTAATATTGTCTGTTCCTAATAATAGGTCAAACTTTGGGTGAAAATTAAACAAAAAGAATTCAAGGTCTGATTTCTCAGCGATTGAGAGATCGTTTGAATTCAGAAGTGTACTGTAATTTTCTCTCGAAGAGCCATGAGTGGTGATCACTTCAAATGGTTTATATTTTATTTTAGTGTTGAAATGTTTTTTTGCTAATTCTGGATTTATGAACGATCTCGTACTTCCAGTGTCGATTAGGATTTTAAAATTCGTTTTTTTGTCGACTATATACGGAAGTTCGTCGTTCTTATCACGTTCAATGTTCATTATGTGAAATCTTCTTGTGAAGTTTGGCCTACTTCTAAAAAAGAATCTTGATCGGGGTCTGACTGTTTTCCCGTGTGTTGGCCAAAATTGGGATTTTGGGAACTGTTCCTTGTTGATATGCTCATTGGTGTTACCGGGGGTAGTGTTGGCTTTTTGTTATATTGCTGAGGTTGGCGGTTTTGATGTGATTGTTGGTTTTGATTGTAAAGTTGGCGGTTTTGGGAGAATTTTTCATTGTTTTGATAGTTTTGAGGGAAAGGATGACGATTTTGAGGGAAAGGTTGACGATTTTGAGGGAAAGGTGGGCGATTTTGAGGGAAAGGTGGGCGATTTTGGTGATTGAATTTGTTTGGTGTTATTGTTGTTTGGTTAGTTTTTAAGTATTGAAAGTCATTTCGTAATAATATCTCAATTTCTATCAGTGTTTGTGGGTTTCTGGTGGCCAAGTTATTACGCCAGGGATCTCTGAGACCAGATATTACATGTAAAACTATTAGTTTTTCATTGTAATCTCCGATAGTATTGGCGTTGGCGTTATTTTCTGTGTAAAGTTTGGATTTGTAAGTTCCGAACTTTTCTATTATTTCTTTAACATAGCATAAAGGATCTTTCGTGCATTTGAAGTTTAATATTTCAAATAATAAACTATGAGAATTTTGAGTGGTTGAAAATTTTGTTATTAGAAAATTTTTTAATGTATTCCAATCTGCAAAATCTGAATCTTGGAGGATTTCTGCCGCTCTTCCAATTAATTTTCCTTTAATCGCGCGGAAAGCACTTCTTTTTGCTAGCTCGCTGATTGTGGGAACGATTGAATTTAAAATTGAAGTTACTTCTTCGACTTCTTTGATGAAATGTGCTAGTTTTTTCGGATTTCCGTCATAGTTCGGAATACTATCAGTGAATACTTTTATTTCAGTTAGCGACGCCATGTTACGTACACTAATGTCTGTTATAGAAAGTTTGGTTAATTGTGTGATTAGTTGCTCAATTGTGAATTAAACTTACAGAACGTAGATTGCAGAGTTGCACATCACAGTAGTTTCTTCACGGCAAGAAGGATCTGGTAGGTCTTGTAGATCGCGGTAACATGTACACTGTTCCCGTGAATCTTGTCCAATTCGACTGCGCCAGTTATAAATTTGTCTTAACGACACTCGTTTTTAAAAAAATATTTATTTATTAAAGTTTACAATTAACTTTTCATAAAATGAATAACTTAGAAAATAAGNTTTTTTATGATGGTACGGATCTGGTTGAGATTTTTTACGCGTAGTTAGTCCAAGACGTCGCAAACAAAATAAAATAAAAAGCTTGGTGGAACCAGTTGTCCTTTTGAGTAATCAATTTAAAGAACAATCATTAAAATTTATTATGAAAGAAATTCAATGAGAAATATAACAAATTATTACATGCTAAATTAGCAAGAGATAGCAAAGTTAATTTTTTTTATTGTAAGAAAATTTAAAAGTAAAAAAAAAAAAAATAATAATGAATGATTATTCGGAGATCCACTCGGACACTAACCTCCCATCTCAACCCCACCTTTTGAATTTTCCCTCCTTTTTGGCATTTTTCCGGTTAGTTTCCGAGTGGATCAAGGTCACGATAGCTCAAGTGGTAGAGCAGCGGCCTGTCTAGCCGAACATCGTGGGTTCGAAACCCGCTCGTGACATTGACGTTTTTCTCATCTGAAAACCTTAATTAATTGAAAGATATTGATTGGTCAAGCGGACCACGAAAACTAGTGAACCTCAAACGACGATGGCCATGAGACCTCCTGGCCTGAACCCGTTAACAAACTGAGTGCCAGGATTGGCTGGCTTCTCACAACATGTGTCCTCCGGGTGCATTACTGACAGTAGTGTTAGAGTTTTATACCATTAGAACAAGTTTTTGTAAGTTGTGTAATTCATATACAGGATAAAAATGAATATGATTAAACAAAGAAATATAAACGTTGTAAAGACGATGGTAGAAATGTAAGGCAAAAAATTTCATTTTCAATATAGAAGATTTTGATTCGGCTTAAACTCCCTTAAAAGCCATTAAATACAATTTTTTTTAGAAAACAAAAAATGGACGAATATGTTCCTTAAAAAAAATTCCATACGATTTATCAAATGCTCACGGTATTACTATTATTATGATTATTCCTTGATCCCATATCAAAATGGTTCAGAGAACTTATATAACTCTCTCGCTTTCTGTTTATTTTTATGTCTGTTTGTCTTTCTTTCCTTGTTGATGTCTCTTTGTTTACATACACAAACTCACTCATTCTCTTCCTCTCACTATTTCACTCTCTTTCAGTCTCTCTCTCTCTCTCTCTCTCTCTCTCTCTCTCACACACACACACACACACACACACACACACACACACACACACACACACACACGCTATACATTTATTACATAGCAAATGGAGCTGGGTACTACCTCTTTATCTTTCTCACTTTCTTTCTTNTCTTTTTCTCGGTCTCTCTTTCCCTCTCCCTCTCTCACTCTCTCCCGTTTTCTCTATCTATACTTCTATCACTCTAGATTTCTCTACTCCTAAATAACGTCAGCCCGCCACTAAACATCATCATTTCGCAGAACTCAATAAATAATCACATCATTATATAGAAATGATACAAAGTAGTGAACTGTGCTTCTAAAAATTAACTTTCTTAATAGTTAATAAGCCTTTTTCGTCACACCTGTCTTTGTATTGTATCTATCACTTTCTGATCCATTATTTAATAAATTAATTTTGTCCTTACCGATCGCAAAAATAATCGGTAACGACCAAATCACATGTCAATCATACCGGCGACACACAGTGCGCCCAAAACGCAAATAAGCGGACATAATACTAATTTTAATTATTTTCTTTTAATTAACCGACCTGTATCTACCATTGGTATCGATCCGAGGCATTGTGAATTTTGAGACCAATTTTCAGGATGTTACGGTAATTTGTAGGCTCTAAGGAGATACATTCGTTTTGGAAAATGTGGCAAAAATTGCCCGTTTCACCACGCTATATTTTCTTTTTCTTCTTTTTTGAGTGTGGAGGCGAAATATGTCGAAAAAAGGATGTACATTTATTTGTACCACAATTAATCAATAAACCAACAATAATCCCCCACCCGGAGGTGCTTAACGAATGGGCGGAACAATCACTCATAAGACGCGAGTTCCATCTATCAGATTCGGGTCGAAATCGATTCACCCAGTTATATCCGAGATGGAAAACGTAACCGAATGACGTCGAGCAATATTTTACATGAGATTTTGGGCCCCTCTTTCGTCTCGGATTAACGCAGACGATCGGGAGAACCCTTTTCAATCACTTCCATCTCGAGCCCCACTGTCAATATACTTAATGAAGGAACATCTTCTAAAACGGCCCGAACTTCGAATCCAATCTTCCTTAGAATTCCTCCGGATTTAATCAAAGCAAATTGTATCGTTTCAACAGCCGTCGAGTATCAAGGATTTGCAAATCCAGCAATAAACCCCCTAGTCCGTTGTCTCGTTACTAAAGTAAATATTACTAATCCGTTGGATATAAAGCGGCATTTGGGAAATGGGTTCAGAATTCCATAATAGTGCACCGTTGGACATTAATTTCATTCTATTCCAGCAATCGGCAACAACCCTAAAAATATAATTTTATGTTGATAAAATGACATATGATTGTCATAACGTTGAATTAGATAAAAAATGAATTTTAGTTGAAAAAATTTGCAACATGTTAATCCGTTCTAATAATGTGTCTTTTTGGATTGACAGAAAAATTTGTAAGAGTTTTAAACGGTGCATATAATCTGAATTAGTTAAAATAAACTGACTTTAGCTATTTATTGGAAGTATCATTTCGTTTTTGTAAATTTTCATAAATATAATTATATAATTATATTTAAAATGATCCTAGATATTTTTTCTTACCTTAGATATTAAACAAAACGTATGGTACATAACAACCTGTGAAGTACATGCATAAAAGTGCAGAAAAACATATTTAAGAAAACTGTGTAAATTTCATAAAATCGTTCTTTTTCTCGGCTCATAGACCCCATTGGCCAGAACGATCGGACACGTAATAATCATTTTTGACCTATTATGACAAAAAAAGTTTAATTAAAACCAGTGATCTCTCGTCCGTAGGCTCTCTTTATTCAGTAAAAATGGGAAAATTAGGTTCAAGAAAATGATGACATCTATCCAGTGGAAGCCAGAGCTAATTACCAGTATGCAAATTGTACAATTGCATGTAGTGTGTATAAAATCAATATTTAACTAGGCGGTGGGTGTCATTCATTAGAAGGAAACCTCAGATAAGCATGCAACGTTAAAGTTGTCCCCTTATTTCAGACGATGGGGAAAAATTAGTTCTCAAACTCATGACGTGACTAGCACTAGCATTGACTCTTCCTTATCTATCGAAACTTTAATTGCGTTCAATTTATAGGCCGGGTTAATAACTTGTTTTCCTGTCACTACTCCTATTATTGGTAATTGAAGCTTGTTTCCAACTTCTGTACAGTTGGCCAATTGGATGGGCCATCACCTGACACGATGTTGAACACGCTCAAATAATTTTTTACCGCTTATTTCTCTTTACTTTAGTCTGTAGAAACTAACACAGATTTGATTTTTTTATTATTTAATTTTACAATAACTAAGAATATTTTCTCAGCATGTTATGTATCTCAACAGTTTTTCTTTACTTGATCTGTTTTCCAACCCCCCCGTCTCCTCGTCACTCGGGGAATGTAAGAAGGGTCAATATGACATAAATCTGCGAGTTTTATAAACAAAGCTTTTCAATTCAATTCAATTCTCTTTCACTCTCTCTTTTTCACACAATATGAGACACGTCATCTCTCTCTTTTTTCTCCCTCTCTTTCACTCACTCCCTCTTTTTTCCTTTCAATTTCTCACTCTTTCTCTTTTCTTTTTCTTTCTTTCTATGAATCTCTCGCTCTATTTTTCTCCGCTCCGTCTAAAATCATTCTCCTTTTCTGTTTCTTTTCATCTCTTTCATAACTTTTTTTTGTAACTCATGCCTTATGAAACCATCTCGCTCTTTACTTTCCTCCCACTGTTGTTCTCTCTTTTTCTCTCAATTTCTGCGTCTCTTTGCTTGCTTTTCATATGATTCTATGTATATATATATATATATATATATATATATATATACTCTACTCTTCTATGTATATATATATATATATATATGTATATATATGGTGAGCAATCAAAGGGTTTCTTTCTCACTCACTCTTTTGTTTGTTCCTCTTCCTTTGTTTCCCTTTTGCTCTGTCAGTCTCTCTCTCGCTCTCTTTCTTGCTCGCTCGCACGCTCTCTCTCTCTCTATCATTTTTTTTTTAAAGTTCTCAATTTAGAAAACAAAATTTTAACAGTATTGTGTGTAGCGTATGGTCTAGTTGAGCTTTTGTATGTTATTGGAATGGATCTTAGATCAACTCTTGCAGAAAACTTTTAAATTTCCATTTTCCTGTTTGTATCCAAGGTGTTTGCGGTAAAATAGTAGTTGGTATATCTGCCTGCTATGAAAATGCAAAAATAAGGTATTTCACGTGGTATTTTTAATTATCCATTAATTAGGTCGATCGTCAACTTCTTTTAAAATATTGTACGTGCGAGATAAATTCGCAATATTTCCTTAACTTTTTTTGCTTAATTTTTCAAGAAAATTTTAAACAGACACTCTGATTTGCATAATTTTATTACAATTCTACACTTTTTGCACCATTTTGAATTTTGTATTTTTAGACAAACTTGAGAAAACATTTTGTCAAATGTTAGATTAAATTTCTTTAATTGTTGTGACCGTAAGGGTTTTAAAACTGATAAGCCCTTTTTGTTGATGTTCACCGTGGCCCCTTCGGCCGTTTAATACTTATAACCGTCTGTGTTATTGATATGGAAAAACACAATCCTATCGTTCCAGTTTCAAGAAGCCGTCGTGAAGAGGCAGAAAAATGTTCGCCTGCGTTCACCATACAGATAAAAACAACAACTTACGCAAGATCTTGCCGGATGCAAAGAGAAATCAAAAAGTGGTAATTTATTATCAATTCTTTCATTTGTTTGAACCTTTTTGTCTAGTTTATTAATGCTCTAAGAAACATCACTGCCATATTTTTTCTCACAGTTTAATCCGACTTTTACATTTAAACTATTTTTATTTTTAGCGTGAAATAACAATCTTATATTATTATTTAAGTATGGTTACTTTAATGTGTACGGTTAATGTGATCTGAATATTGTTCAATGAACTGTTCGATGTTGTGACATTTGTTTGGGATGCAGTAATTTGATATTTTTTAAAATGCATCTTTCATTGATCGTAGAATGTTTATATGAGCTAGTTGAAAGTAAGACAAAATTACAGTGTTTTTAAACGGCCCACAGTGCAATTGGTTTAAAAATTATTTATTTTCTATTATTTTATTGAACTTTACAGAACATGTTTTAGATTATTAATTGTTACTTTCGTTAGGTAGGCTTTCTTCCTCCTTCTGAGCTCCTCCTTAGACAATTTGTCTATTTTGTTAATCCTTTCTTGATAAAAAGAAAGGACAGTGTTAAAAAAATTCTAGCTCTTATTATCCTTTCTCTTATTCGAGAAAAGATTACAAATATAGCCTAACGGACTGAGGAAGAGCTAAGTAAAGCTTTAAAAAGGGCTTCTCAACCAAATGAATAGTAAAGATTGTAAGCAACGGAGCTATAAAGTCTAATAAAAACGGAAATCCCAAATAAAAAAAAAGATAAATAGCCAAATACTAAAAATATCATTATTTAAAAATTAATTCATTTATGTTTTAGTGTTCAATTGACCAAGTTACATCTTTCAATTAATTATTCTTTCCATGTAAGGTCTTGGTTGAGATAAAAAGTGGTACAGTAGCTGTTTGTGTAGTTCGAATCCCGCTTGTGACACTGACTTTTTATCTCAAACAAGGCCTTACATGGAAAGAATAAGTAATTGAAAAATTATTTAAAAATTAAACTGTTTGGCTTAATTAGTATGTCTTCTTTATTTTTCTTATTGATGGTCACATCTTTGTTCTTAACGTCTTCATTTTTCGTCTAGCTGGGAAGGCTTTTTCAAATCTCTTCTCAGCTCCTCTTTTTGGCTATATTTGTAATCATTTCTGGAAACAAAAAATATAAAATATAAAATGATGATCTTTTCCTCAGACAATTTGGCAGTTTATTTTATCCGATCTCTTTTATGTAGAAATTAAAATTATTAATAAAATAGCCAAAATTAAAAATATTTTGAAAAGGCCTTCCAATACGAAAAAGCTCTGTGAAGTTCAACAAAAACAAAAATCGCAAACGAAAAAATGTTAAAAACAAGAAAAATTATATTTAAAAAAAATATGTTTGGTTTAATTAGTACTTCTTATATATTTTTCTTATTGAACTTTAAAAACATGTTTTTTTACATTTTTCGTTTTTTATTTTTCGTTCGGCTGGGAAGTCTGTCGCAATTGAGTTCTTCCTTCTGACCAAAATTATAATCCTTTTTGTAAAAACAAAAAAATCTAGTCAAATGAAAAATAAATATTGCATGAAAAAGAGATATGAAGTTCAGTAAAACACCAATATCAAAAAAAAAAAAAAAATATATACACTAAAAAAATAGATTTAGTGGAACAGAACTTCACATCTTACAATCTTTATTTTACGTTTGGCTTGGATGGCCTTTTACAGACTCTTCTTTTCTCCTTTTCGCTATTGTTTTTATTGCTTCTAGAAAAGTAGATAACACAAAATAAAAGTTGAGGCTAGATAATTACCTACTGTATTCAGGAAACTAGGTTTCATAATTAAACATGATAATATTGTAATGGAATTTCTGTACAATTGTAAAAAAACATACAATCTTATTAAACAATTTTATTTGATGTTTTCCAAATGTTTACGACTACATTCTGGACCAGATGACAAATATAAATTTCAGCAATGATTCAGACATAAATATAATAACTGTTTTAAAAGCGATAAATCGAAATTGGAACGAGTTACGAAAGTGGAACATTTGCCATTTAAACCAAAGATTATGGCACTCATATATTTCACTAGCATGTCTTGTTGTGTTTTCCTTAAAATGTTAATTAATGCAGATCGGTTAAGGCATAAATTAGTTTTGTCCGGTTGTCTAAGGTTAAATAAATATACATGTACATATATTAAAAAATAATATTTCTAAGCTCGCTGTTACTGTTCAACGATTTTATGAATTTACTGGCTGTGTATTTTGCCTTAGATATTGTTGTTCTGTTATAAATAAGGGCTTAATATTTTTGAAAGTAAACATGGATTATTATCTATTATTCCAATGTATGTAAAGATGAAACGGATTATTCTAAAATCTTCTTTCACTCTTCTAGAAGGGCGGTCTAGTTGATGATTTAATTTGACAGGTGCAGACGGTTTACGGTTTGCAATTACGGTTTTTGATAAAATATTGTGACTTAGGAAATAGAAAACACGTCAACGATGTTTATTAATCCATTCAACAAGTTAAGCCCTATTGAATGGTTTATATGTGGGATGTTAGAAACTACATCACAAATACTTTGTAAAACAAAAGGGTGGGTTAGTATAGTAAGAACCTTAAATTTTATTAGCAGGTGTTTGTTTCCGATTTGCCTTTAGACTATAAATTAACATACGAAACAGCTTGAAAATTGCAGTTTGCACATCCATTTTGGCGTTGTTTTTCTCAAAGAAAATAAAATTTATTATAATATGTACTGATGTATCCCGTTTAAAGTATACAGGGTGTCCTTTTTGGAAGGCTCGGCTGAATTTCTCTTGAACCAATAACGCTACAAAATGACAAAAAAATGTGTTTAATATTTTTTGGTCGAGTTTCATATTGTTACCTTTTTTGGAGTAAAATTATACAGGCCCAATTCTGATCGATTATTAAATATTTTTTAAATCAAGATCTTCCAACCGTGCGAATACATCCTACTATTCGGGCGAATCTGTACCGCTTAAAACCATTATTAAAAAAATTGGAACGAAAAATGGTACAACTTACAAAAATAAAACACGTTAGAAAGAAGCTTTACAAAAAAGGACAAAATACTGTTTTAAGATATTCAATGGACGAACGTCTAAGAGATCATTTAAAATATTAATGGTAGCCACGTTATTTTGACTCTCAGTATATTTTTAATCAAATCCAATTCATCGATAATTGTAAATAAATAAATAATACTTTTTCTGAAAGTGAAATTTCGGTTGTCTCCGTCCGCCGAATAAAGTGGGTTAACAGAAAAACATAAAAACTAACGTGTGTGTTATTAGTGACCGTTAAACGATATTTATTTAGAAATCGTGAGATACGGTCTGGTGTGATGTAGGCTTCAGAAAAATATTTTCTTTATCGTGCCAACGTTTCGATCTTTATTGAGATCATCTTCAGGGCTCAAAGTGTTTGTCTTCTGTGTAATTGTGCCATTCTTGCGTGTCGTGTAGAGAGTGTCACTTGATGATGATCTCAATAATGATCGAAACGTTGGCACGATAAAGAAAATGTTTTCTGAAACCTATATCACACCAGACCGCATCTCACGATTTCTGAATAATTATCGATTAACGGTCACTAATCACCACCTATTTATACAATTAAGTTTTAAATGTTCAATATCTGTATTGTCTTATTAACCACTAATATCAATTAGAGCTTTTCAAGCAATAAAAGATCTACAGTCGTCATATATTAAAAAAAATTAGTACCGCCTGAAGATTTTTAGTTTTATTTCTTACTAAATCCATTACATTTAGTGCTCTAATTGACAAAATTACGTCTTTCAATTAATTATTCTTTTTATGTAAAATCTTGGTTGAGATGAAAATGTTAGTGTCACGATCGGGATTCGAACCCACGACCTTCGGCTCATACGCCGCTTCTCTAACTGCGTGAGCTATTGCTTTTTTATTTCTTACGTTCAGATTTTCATTGAAGTTTCAGCTATGGACATACTTATATCCGCACATGCTAATTTATTTACGAGTAATTTTTTCATTATGTTGTTTCATAAATTTCGATTTCGGTAAGATCTTCCCGAAACCCAGTAATAAAGCAAAGGCGATAATTACGGTGGTAGGACACGAAGTAACGTCGAATTTAAGTCGGCCAATCAGTTTTAAACGAGGGGCTTATCTGTTTCAACGTTTTATCTTTCTTCTTTCCCTCTTTTATATTTCTTATTTGGTAACGTTCTGTTCAAACCGAGTCCTTATATCGACTTTCTAACAGAGACTGAACGGTCGGATTCGTGCCGAAGCGAGCAACTAAGCGATCACAGATTAGGCCAAGGATCCACTAGTCATTAGCATATTTTTATTGAGTCTACGTCAAATCTTCCCAACCCTCAACTATTGAATCAATTGTAGCCCCTCACGAAACGTTTTTAATCTGGACACCAACTGGTACGAGCGCAATTATAACTTTACCACGAACTAAAATCAAATTACAACCTGTGCTACTGTCATTCGCTTTAAGTCATTTCCGTATCACGGTAATTACGCAAACATGTCACCGATGCCGTGGCTGCCGATCTAATGAAATTCAATATATTGTTATGTTTTGGGCATAATGTTACGTTTTCAAAATTTAGTACTTTCAATGGTAGAACATGAAAAGCATTTATGCAAATGATGGTCAAACCATTAATGGATTTACATTTTATGCTTTGAGAAGTAAATTTACTAATAACGCGTTCCTAATTGCTTATATCATAAATTGCAAACACATTTTTTGTCCTATGTTACAAAAGCCTTAATATCAGCTGTAATCGTAACCATTTTGTTTATTTACTCTCTACTGTCTGTATATTTGTCTCACTCCTAAAGTAGCAGCTTAAAGATGGTTAAATGAATAAGAACAAGGAGAGATGAGGCTGAAATCACAATTTACGAATTGTATTTGTAGGAATGAGGTCCGTATAAGCGGGATTAAGGAATGTGGCGTAATCGCTTACAGAAACTCCAATTAAATATTTAATCAGAAAACAATTTACAAGATGTTCAT